GATCAGCATCTTTTATGCTCAGAGATGTATTTGACATTAGATACATCATAAAGTCGTTCATCTGTTCTTTGCGATTCACGAACTTTGTAGAGCACAAGTTCACTTCAGTACATCCTATAAGATATATATTCACGTACGAATTTAATGTTCATACCACTATTAGCTGGAAGCCTTTGATTGATGTTGCTAGTGGACGGTGTACTAATCGAAGTACTTTCATTACAACTGACTTCTCTCTTTACTTCTATCAATTAAGTAAACAACATTGTTAAACTCAGTTACCTTTTACGGTGCTTTCATTAGCAAACTCACTGACCGAAGGAAAGTGATATTTTTTCATTAAAGCAGCTCTCATTTTATTCCACCTCCGATTATAAGTGGTTCTGTGACAACCAAGGGAACGTGACAAGTTCACAGTTGCCCTACGTCTACGAACATTCTCACTGACATCAGAAAAAGTCATATTATTGGCCTAAGAAGGTAATCAGTCACAATGAACCTAAAGTCCTGAGAGCACGTCACTCACCTGCATCACGTAAGTTTTTGTGATGGCTCCAAAGCATGTCGGAACACTTTAACTAAACAACAAACGAAGTCACTCTATATGCGTATCAACCGAAAGCCTGGTTCCGTATTTTGTACATTGTTTCTATGACAATACTTCTGTTTTTTTAATTTGCGGTGAATAAATTTGTCGAAGTTTATGAAAACTTCAGTTCCAGATGCGGTTCATTCAAACACTGTACGTTACGTAGAACTGTCGACAAATTTCCCCCAAATACACGACGTAAGGGGGAAAAAGCGACATTTCCCCTAAATAACCGACGTAAAGGCGAAAAAGCGACATTTTCCCTTTATTTCCCCTTTCGTCCGCTTTATTTCCCCTTTTTTCCCCTTTATTTCCCCTTTTTGTGTTGCTTGGGGCGTTTATTAGCGTGGACAGGACAACACTATGGAGGTTTTTTCGACACTGCGGCGTGCCTGAGAAGGTAGTCAATATCATAGGGAATTCTTATGGGTCCGTTCCACTTTCCTTAGTTAATTCTAATACTAATAAGTACATTCTAGATCATACAGAGTCTATATCTAATACACAGTCGGAAAGACACGTCTTGAACCTAAAGAGAAGTACGACCGACTACAGAAACTTGGATTCCTATTCAAACTGTGGTGGTTATGCTATTTGTATGGAATATTGACTGATCAGATAATTGATGTTAGACAGTTAAATGCAGAAACTCCGAAAGAAACGTGGTACGTAAGGGAAAAATCACTCACCTCATGCGGACTGTACACACTTTCATAAAAAAACTTGCCAAACGGATCTAACAGTTTCAGTTTCGAAAGGACAGGAGCCTGAGTGGCCCACAATAGTCCTGACAGTAGTGGTCTATCAGTTGGTGGAACTGACTTTTGAAATAGTCGACTGATGGAGCCTCAATCATGTGTGAAGGTGATGAATGCTGCTCGTTGATGATTCGATGGGGAAGTCTATAGTCAACTGACAAGTAATCTGTCTTGAGTTTGTGAACTTCTTGGAGTGTCCTTGTAAACTTTGTTTTAGAAAACAAGAAAAACGAGGTCATAATAGATGCAAATTTATCCCTAAGTAATTTGAAAACTGTTATCACGTCACTTCTGGTTCTTCAATATAACAATCGGAATAGGTTTAGTTTAGCTAGCCAAGCATCATACGGGAACTTCGCTATTTCCGGAATCAGCTTAGTTGATGTTCTCTGAACCTTTTCCAAAAGCTCAGTCTTTCTTAAGCAAGGGCTAGCCGTTTGTAGGAAATACTCAAGTTTGAAACGCACGAATACTGTATACAAAGTCAAAAAGGTTTCAGCGTCGACATGGCTAAAGGCCCTACGTATTAAAGATGAGACTCTAGAAACTTTGGCGGCTATTGCACGGCAGTGTGCAGTAGTTTCTAAGTCTTGGCTGATAGTGACTCCTAAGTCATTGTGTGTCTGATCAACACGTAGCTCAGTGTTATTCATTATGTACGTATCTGTACCTTGATGACCAATATGCATCACAATACACTTGGAAGTATTCATCTGCAACTGCCAAGTTTGAGACCATTCAGATAGTTTCTCCAGTCATTTTGGAGTTCTAAGCTATCACCTTTGCTTTTTATCGCTCTCCATATCTCAACATCTTCGGCATATAACAAGACGGATGATGATAGGGGAGGAGGAAGGTCATTTACATACAAGGGAAATAACACTGGCCCTCAAACTGTACCCTGAGGCACTCCGCTGAGCACAGTCTCCCAACTAGACAACTTGGAGTTCACTCGTGCTATTTGTTGGCGCCCAACTAGAAAGTTTTATCCAAATTAGTAAATTGCCACTGACTCCAACATTCCCTAACTTATATCACAGTCGGTTGTGAGGAACTTTGTCAACAGCCTTGCCGAAATCAATGTAGGCTATACCTATAGGTGACTTTTGGTCTTTCAGAGCGTACCAACTTTCACGAGCCACTAATAAGTTAGTGAGACATGAATGACCCACTCTAAAGCCATGTTGCTTTTCCGAAATAATCCGTCTTTCATCGAGGAACGTATACAACTCCTTCCGAATAATCTTTCCCAAAATTTTAATAACTACGCTGGTTAGGCTGACGGGTCGGTAGATCTCAGGCTTGTTTCGCACCTGCTTCGAAGACAGGACGTACCACGGCGTTCTCCCAGTTTTTTGTTAGTCGATTCTGGGTTACAGATAGATTAAAGCATATAATTAATGGGTTCGCAACGAAATTATCTAGTTCTTTTATTAACCTAGAATGAATTTCATCGGGTTCCATGAATCTGCCTATATCAAACTTATTTAGCAGACCAAAGACATCGAGTTCTTTAATGGTCACATTATCAATTGTGTGTGGAAGGGATCTGTATGCATTAACGTGGAAGGTTTTTCTACGGTATATAAATTGTTAAATTAGTTTGAGAACACCTGAGCTTTACCATAAGCGACCTCCACTAATGATGAAGCATTATTGTCTTCACATAGTGCTGGAATACTTCCTCTTCTCTTAGTCCATTGGCTACTCGGGCTCTATTGTCCAATCTACTGACGATGCTGAGTGTACAATATCTTCTATATTCACTCTCCGAACGTTATGTCGGGGTTGAGCTGACGCGTGTTTGCTTTTGACAACTATATGGATGTCAAAGACTAGAACTGCATGATCGCTTTTGCTTAAGGATGGGATGTAAGCGAGGTTTGTTACGTCATCCCCATAATAGGTCAATATAAGGTCTAGTAAGGATGATTCAGAGTTCGGGTCGCACCTAGTTGCTTCTTTCACATTTTGCACTATCTTGTTAATGCAGGTTAACGTTTTTGGGGAAGTTGGAGACTTGATCATCACTGCTACTCACTACCCAAAATAACATCGTAAAGACGAATACGTTACTAGTCGTGAGTTTAATTTTGGGAAACAGATGCCAAGTTTATCACTGTTATTCACACATACTAAAAATTTTTGTGATCAAAAGAAGAAAATTCACATGATTGTTCGGACTTTACAATGCTCCACTTTCCCAGCCAGACATAAAAGGAAAGAGGAATATGAGTGTTGAGTAGTATTGCCTTGCGATCGACAGAGATGTTAAAAATGCATGAACAGTTTTTCTTTACATCACCAGTTTCGAACATCCGTCAGAAAACAGTAGTCTTGATGTCAATTTACTGAACGATCTATTGCTATGTCATCTTGCAAAATATTTAACAAATACATAAATTTCATGCAGTTAAAAACGACCCAGTCGACTGTAATTGACAACTGGTACGTTGATTATTCTTTATTTACAAAGATTACAAGGTGTATAAAATTTTTGGTCGATAGTGCAGACTAATGAAGGTCCCAGATGAGTGTTTTACTTATGGAACCTTTGAATTTGTGTACCAAGCAGAAGCTCAAAGGCAACTAAATTAATTTACACTAGATGAGTAGATTTGACACAGGAAATAGAGAAAAGAAACCAAGACAACCACATTTCTGTGAAACCGAACAGAAGTTCAGCTTATGGAACTCAAATTTATGTTGAACCTTCGCGAATAACATGGGTCAGTTAGTTACATAAAATATGCAATAATGACGAGAAATAGATAGTTCTCCAGACGTTGACCACCCACTCCACATATTTTACACTAATCCAAGCTTTATTTAATAGCGATATGCTCGACAGTCGTTCCATACTTATTTAAAAGCTTATTTTCCCACCACAGATGAGCTAATGGAAGTAACAGTTTCTCATCAATGGGGAGTTTCGGAAAAAATATACAAGCAAGTTACTTTACGCATTGGAAGCAGAAGTAATATTGCCTATGATCCCCAAATGGATGCCGTGTATATATGCCTAACCTGTATTTAGCTTTTCGTTTGCAAAATTTGTGGCATTTACATACCAAGGAACACTTTTTGTCAAGTTACCTAATAATAACTAACATACAATTCAATTATGAATTTCAAATGTTAAGTTGCGATGTACGAAACTTTGAGGAAACTAATTATTCATCCGACGAACAAATGATACAACTGCAAAGTAACTTATGGTGAGTTCTCTTACAACAGCATCTGGTGAGTATTTATGCAAATTAGAAACCTAAAGGAGCCGTTTATCTTTTGGTTGACAAGAGTACGACTGTCTAAACAATCCGAAGAAACAACAATGATTATTGGACAACCATGATTATATAAAAACCAGAAGAGTAACTAATATTAGGCAAGCAGAAAAGTGCAAATATAAGTAAGAAAGTACTGAACGAGATAAATTTATTACAGCCAAATAGTTAGTAGTGGATGTATGCTAAATATCAGTGAAGTTTATCAAATATGAATGATAAGACATAGTGATGATATAAATGAACAGAAGGAAACAGTCAGAATAACACAAAACAAACTCTTACAGGTACAAAAAAATTAAAGATGTGCTCCGGAGAGGATACAAATACTTTTCAAAACAAATATATGGCTGTCTTTACACGATTTTAAGGTTGATAACCACCCATTGGGTCTGCAGAATAAACATCACCTAATCCTGCACGGTAATTACCCACTTGGTAATCAAAATTTGAGTGGGCGACAGGTGTATCCGGATCTACAGGTCCTGGTCCCGACGCATCGAGCATATCCGCGTCACTGGTAAAACCATGATATCCATGCGAACTTTCAGTTTCTCCGTAAGCAAAGTTAGAGCATTGTATTTCAGTTGATTTATAGAATTTGTATGTGAAAAATCCCAAAATAATCTGTATGCAAAATCAACATTTACGAAATCAATCTACTAAAATAACATTGAAACACAAACCATAAAAGTACAAACTTTTAGAAGATAATTAATCTAAGAAGGTAAAACAATATGTGTGATTTGAGGTTGAATGATAAGAAAGTTGGTTAGAGATTACTCAGTAACCAACCAACTAATGACTTAACGTAACCTGTGCAATAGTTAATGCAAAGTTATACTGTGATACCTTTTACAAAGGGATATCGACTACAATATATAATCCAAAAGAGGAGATCGGAAATAAAAGTAACGGAGTGAAAATAGAATCAATGTTTTGTGGAAAAAAACGTAGATTCTACCGTTGGGAAAGGAAGGATAGATTTACAGAATAATAAATATAATTTAAACAATATAGATTCGCATGTAACTTACGAAAACTGTGAAGTAATTGGGATCAATTTTTAAGCATAGGCACTAAAGTCTCGAGCTGGTGATCATGATTGGACTGATACCAGAAAGGTAAAATGTGATTACGACAGAATGCTTGGCCCTAATCGTTAAAAGAATGTCAAACTTTGCTGACTTGATTGCTAATTGTCTTACATTATATCAATAAAAAGTATGCCCGTAATCAAAACTTTGTAACGAAAGGAGATATAACGGTTTATAGGTATCAATGCCAAGGTTGGACTTGATAGTTTCATATAAATTGAGCATTAGGTGGAAAACTAATAATAAATATAGTTTTTGTTATATCCGAATGAGTAGGAAAATTGTATTTCTGACGTTTCGTGACTTAATGCAAACCACTTCTTCGGAGTAAATAAATAACCGAACTAAATTAAAACAAGTTTAAATAGTACAAAGGAAACATGTTAATTTAATTTAAATATTTATTTACCCCGAAGAAGTCACAACACATCAAAAACACAATTTTTCTATTCACTGGAATATAACAAAAATATATTTATTATGAAATGTAACAGTATTTATACATGAACTCGTGAATTTTCTTGAGGAAAAAGATCATGGTATAATGACACTAAACTTTTAATTCCTACTTAAAAAATAGTGGGTAATTACGTTTAGGAATAACTTATATCGTTGAAGAAAAGTAATGGAGAGAGGTCAAATTTTTTATAGAATCCATCAAAGCTGGATGAGTAAAACAGTACGAAGCGGAGAGTTAAATGACTAAAAAGAACCTTTGACTCAAACTATTTCATTACTTCAAGTGATCGATGGGTAGACTAGCTTGGAGACATTCTAAAGGCTATATATACTGATAGAAGCGAGACAAGCCAATAATATTTCTTTTACAAAACGTGTCCGAAATGCAGTTTTCATAAAATAATAAATAAAAACTGAAACTTAGTATCATTTTCATATGTACGGAACAGCCGAACTCAAAAGGTAGTTAGTGTTTGCAACAGGTTATCCAGATGAAGTCTCAAACAATTAAGTTACACATCAAATCGCACTATAAAGCCAATAGTTATTGAATTGTCAGTACACAAACAGATGATGCTGAACATCTGCCGAACTACCTCATTTGTTAAATCAGTTATTAAAGTTTCTATTGCCAAAAGGGTCAAATGAACATTATAATAAAGGCATTAGTTACTATATGGTTGCAGTGAATAGTACTCGAAGAAAAAATGTGACACAATTTTAATTATTAGCATATCGAATAATTTTCTCATCAATGAAATAAGTTGCTAATCGGTATTTTTATAACATGAAAAGTTTATGATGGTATGGTAGATTTACAGATCCATATGCAAAGTGATAGAATACGTAACTCATACTTGATAATTATTCATTTAAACCGTGTCTGGTATCATAATCAAATATGCATAGCAAGACATCCTTTTGGATGTAGAACAGAAAAATTGAGTCGGGACAAATGATGTAAATTTGTTTACCACTCATTACTAACAATAAATTTTCCCAACACGTCGATGTCCTATTTTTGGTTTAACATAACTTCCGAGAATTTGTTGACGCTAGAGCAAGTTGCTACACGCATTGAGGTAGATTTTACCATGTTGTTTTGTAGCATACTACTCATAAAAAGATTTGTGGAGTGCTTTTCAGTCAATGTTTTAAGTAAAACTCCAAGGCAGCGACGGAGTATTTAATGGTTGATATGATTTCATAGAGTTCTTCCCATTGATAATTTTGAATATCATTATTATCGTCAAACTGATGGCGTGGCTATGGGTAGTCCATTGCGTCTAATCGTGGCATATATCTTCATGGGAAACCTAGGACAGACAACAATGAACCCAGTAATCAATGATAGAACGTTTTATGTCAGGTATGCCAATCATACATCTGCTGTCTGTAGTGACTATCAACATGCTCCTCATGTACTGAACTCCTCAATACAGCACACTCGAACTCCGGATTTACAATAGAATAAGAAAATTCCAACCTGTTTCATTTTCTAGACCTTGGTATATGCGTAATATGAATGGGCGATTGAAAAGACAAATTTATCAAAAAGATATTTGAAGAAAATTATACTTAAACTTCAATAGCTTCTGTCCAATAAGTGACAAAAATTATTTGGTTATAAAGCTTCTCAACAGTAATAAAATATAGGATAGAGTAGGAAGCAACCATACTAGGATGTTTATACGATAACAGTTACCCTCAAAAGTTCATAACTACATATGAAATTAAAAGGAAAAAAATGGAAAACATCACTGTTAAGAAAAAGCCAGCCCTTCTAAGACTTGGTTTTAACGGTGACAAAATAGCTGTGTCGAGTCACCTAGACTGGTGGCCACATTGCAACATGATCGATAGCATTCGATCTGCACTAATAAGGACTAGACAAGCATGAGATTGATCACCACCCAGTGATCAATCAATTGTGATTACATCTCAGTCCTACAGGAGGTCAGTCACGGCTCGGATAGCTCAGTGGTAACGTCTCTGACTGTGAAGCTGGGTGACACGAGATCGAATCCGCCAGGGAGCACCAGTTCCCTCAAGATTACAGGTACACCTTGCTGACGAGTGCCAAGTAGCACGAAACCCGGGTCCAGGGTTTCCTGTTGATTACCTCCAACCACCATCTAATCTCAATACATTAAAGACCTTCCACGAAAAGGCCATGCGCGACCGGCCTCAAGCAGTAGTCCCTTGGGCTCTGCGGTCACGCTCCCAGGTCGTTAAGGCCGACATTAATCCGACTTCCTTTTCAGGTTCCTCGAGAAATACCCTTCCACGGTGTGGGCAGCCGGGAAGTGACACCAGCTCTCATACCCATAACAGCACACGAGACCAAGTTGGTCACAGTCAAATCCTTCCTACACCTCCTAATACCTCTCTTATCTCCATGACTAACCCTCCTCACGTCTCTTTATCACCTCGCACCGCTAGGGCAAACGATTCGAGTACGCGGAACGTTATTCCTGGTATCCTGAAACCACGCTCTAAACTACACGTAGGAGCCTTTAACGTCCGAACACTGTGCCAAATTGGACAACAGGCACCTAGGTGGATCCTATGGTGTCGTGGCTCAAAGAACAGATAATGGCGACCGTCTGTTGCAGCTATGCTCAGATAACCGCCTGTTTCTTGCAAATACTAACTTTAAGCATAAGGAAAAACATTTTTTAACATGGTGACCCCCTAATTCGTCCCAACGTTGGACCCAAATAGATCACATCGCTATCAGCCACCGATAGAGGGGCTCGATAGAAGACTGTCGCTCATTCTGGAGCACATGCCTAGATTCAGATCATGCTCTAGTACGAGCGCGTATCTGTCTGCGTCTTACTGGACGTAGGAAAGACGCTGCAAGAAAACCTCTTAGGGCCCTACTTAATGATAGTCAAGCTAAGAGTATATTTCAGGAACAACTAGGAAAACAGTTAGGCAGCCATGTATGTGATGCCCACCCCGAGGCAGCATGGAATGATATCCGAAAAGCTGTGGAAACAGCAGTGATATCTGCTAGTACGGTAAACCAGAAGGTTAGGGAGAAACACTGGATCTCAGCAGCATCAGCCGCACTGATAGATGCTCGAAAACTAATTCCACCTGGATCTGAACATAATGAAGAGCGGAGTCAGCTTAAGCGCAAGCTGACAAGAAGTCTACGTAATGATCGTGAACAGTGGTGGGTAGCGAAAGCAAGAGAGATGGAAAAGGCAGCGGCAATAGGTAATAGCACACAATTGTTCAGACTTGTTAAGGAAACCGGTATTAGGAACCTGACTGTTAACGAAACACTCTCAGAGAAAGATGGACATATTATACATTCTCAATCCAGGGGATTGGATCGATGGGCAGAACACTTTAGGGATCAGTTCAACTGGCCTTCAGCCACACTTTGGTTTCCCACGATCTCCAGTCAACCTGAATGGCAAGTTAATGTAGGTCCTCCGACTCTTCACGAAGTTGAAAAAGCCATAGGAAATCTGAAGCGAGGGAGAGCAGTAGGCCCTGACAGGTTCACTCCTGAGATTTTTAAGGATAGTGGTCCAGTATTAGCAGTGAGATTAACTGAGGTCTTAGGTAGAATTTGGGAACTGGACACAATCCCATCTGACTGGTCTCAATCACTGATTGTGCCAATCTATAAGAAAGGACAAAAGTCCTCTTGTGACAATCACAGAGGAATCAGTTTGACTAATATAGTCAGTCAGTCAGCTACAACGTAGGACCAGGCACATGTATGCATCGGCCCAGGTTGCCATACCTCATTAGCACAGCAAGATGAACACCGGATTCATAGGAGTGGTTAGGTCAAAGGTGGTAATATATAGGAGAAAGATTGCAATAAGGATATAGTATAGGAAGAAAGAATTAGTTCGTAGAAAGAAAGATGTGAAGTGATCTTAATCTCTTAGTTTAAGAGAAGACAGAGAGTGTATACACCGACGCCATTGTGATCGATTCTGAGCCATGTCACCAAGAGTCTCCAACCATTGGTTACGAAAGTCACGCGGACCCCAACCAAGTAGTCTGCATCTACCAACATGGCTCAGACTAGAAGTTAGTGAC